TAAAAGAAAAATGGTTGTTTAAATTAGAAATTTATATTTTTGATTTTTGTTGAAAATTTTGAAAAAATGTTTAAAGTTCCTATAAATCTGTTTTAAATATTTAGTAAGTATTATTTTTAATTGATTAAAAATTAAAATAAGAAAACCCATTTTTTATGCATATGCCTCGCCTAATCTCGCCTAGTCCTGAACTTGACCTCCACGTATCGCCACGCATTATACATTTTAGAACACTGTGTGTGAGAGTGGAATCAGTTATGAAATAACAAATTTTTGGAGACAAGTTTCTGTAATTTTTAAAAGTTAGGGACTATTTTCTCAATAGTCAAATACATGAGGGGTGTCTGATAATATTATATCATTTTTAATGCATAAACCCTAACCCCTATTTTTCCAGCTTCTTCAAGCTTTCAAACTGCTGCAACTCTTTCTTTCCTTCTCTAATCCGCACAACAATGGACGAGGAGATTGTCTCTGCAAAAAAAGAGGTTATTTTGATTTTCGAATTTATAATTTCGGCAGTAAACACTTCCTGTCAACCAATTTTAATGCTTATGTTTTTATTTTATTCGAAATCTTTAAAATAATTTTGTGCTTTCCCTATGTAACTGTTATGAGTAACGCCTGGAGTAGACCAATGTTTTAGTACAATACAAGCCTGAGGTTCAAAATCGCGTCATCCTGTGAAATCAGTTCATACACTGTCAACAATGAAATGAGTTAAGAATCTGTGTTGAGAATTTGGTATTTTAAAAATTGAGTTTATGCTTTTTAAAAATGTTTTAGAAGGTAGATTAATCTGGGTTTGATAAATAGAATAGTTAATGACGAGTCTTTTGACAGTCGTATTAACTATCACTCTTTCCAATATTGTAATATTTACATGTTTATTTTTCGTAATATTAATGTGACTAGGTGCTTATTGAAATGGTGAAATTGGCGCAAAAGAGAGGAATGATAGGTAGTCAAGGAGGCTGGAAAGATTTTTTAAAATTTTATGACAAGAAGTTTGGTGCAAGTGTGAGCGACCCTGCCCGAAGGTCTGTTGATTCATTGGTTGCATTTTTGAAATCTTTTACCCAGGAGAATGATTTGAAGGTAAACTCTTACCATCAGCAATCATCCCCCATCCTTGTTCCTCCCAGCTGACGAAGAAAAAGAAGTGTTCATAAGTAAACCAAATGCACCTTGTGTGATGAACTCTGTTTCTTGCTTGCAGTTTCTCAAGAAAGTAATGCAGTGTCACTCCAACCGTGAAGCTGTGGAGACATTAAAAAAATCTTCCCCACATAATGAAACACCTGAACAGGTTTTCCTTGGATAATTATCACTTCCTAATTCATTTTAACTGAAAGGTGTCCATTTTTTAAAAAACATTTTGTATTCATCACTTTTTGTGCGGTTTGCTGTTACTAGCTTGTATGAAAGGCCATCGATCTTGCTATTCCTTGAATTTTACCATATCATCTGTGGTACTTAGTTTTTTTTTTTTGGCACTGCAGAGGCTGGTCAGTATGACTTTAGGGCATCCTCAGTATTCGACTGATTATGCTCTACCGTCGTATGATGAGGTTAGTTGCTGAATTTGTTGTGTTATTTTTCTTCTATGCATACCTGAAACCTACATTAAGTTTGCGTGGATTATTGTGTTTGTTATAAGACCTCAAAATAGTTTTCCTAATATAATACTCTGGTTATCTGAAGCTACAACTTGGATTACAATGATTGCTGGGCTTGAATGTTTTGTTGCATTGTGAAACAAATTTATGAACCATAGAAGGTTTTATTCACTTCTATAGATGTCTTCATTTTGAAATCCTTTTATTTGTTTCTCTTCCAAATATACTTCACAGCCGTGCATATTGGAGTGGCTTATTAGTTTTTATTTTTCCACTGGCTGTTTCCTCTAGTTGGGGATTTTGATGTTTTTCCATAGTACTGTAGTTACACATTCATTTAATTTTGCTCGTCCTCTCTTTAATTTCTTTGATTGCTGGAGCAGGAGTGGTTGGTTGTAAAATGCAGTAAAAAGTCCAAGGCCATGAAGTCAACGGTAATCGTCGCCATTGATTGTGAGATGGTTCTTTGTGAAGATGGGACTGAAGCTTTAGTAAGGGTGTGTGCTGTGGACCGTAATTTACAGGTATCATGCCTACATACTATCTTTGCAAAATATATGAATCAGCCTCACCCCTTTTTCCGGTATAGATACTATCTCTGCAGTATCTGAGGTCTTACTCATGCAGCCTTCTCTTCTTATGTTGGCTGAAATACATTCAAATTTAATCTATCAGGTTAAACTTGATGTATTTGTGAACCCCAATAAAGCAATTGCAGATTACCGAACTGAGATAACTGGAATTTCTGCAAAAGAGCTAGATGGAGTTACTTGTTCATTGACAGATGTACAGGTATTTACGGTCAATTTTCAAGCCCCCCCTCCTGCTCTCTCTCTGGCTTTCTTAAAATCTTCTGTGGACATTTCAGAAATCCATGAAGAAGTTATTATCACATGGAACCATTTTAGTTGGCCACAGTCTGAACAATGATCTTCAAGGTTAGTTGTGTCTATTTCTTCTGTATCCAAAGTTTTAATGCCTCTTTTGTTTTCAAGAATTCTCATCTACTCTTGACTTTTAGTGACGTTGCTCATGACATCATATTATAACATTGTCATCACATTTCCAAAACACTCTTTTTCCTATTATCATTTTCTGTTTCTTTTTGCAGCACTGAAGTTAGAATATACTAGAATAATTGACACGTCTTATGTCTTCAAACGTGCAAATGGACCTGCTTACAAAAAACCTTCTTTGAGTTTGCTATGTAAGGTATGATTTTATCAGAGAGCCTTCTCTGAGTTTGTTGTGTGGGGTAAGATTTTACTTATGGATCCAGTTTCGAAAGGCACTTTTCTTCCCTATTTTTTCGCAACCGAAGTTGTAATCTCTCTGTGTGTGTGTGTGTGTCTCGCTTGCCCTCTTTACATATCTTCGCTGGTGGCAGTCGTTGCTTGTTTGATAATACCTTATGCTGTTTGGTAGGGCGTGTTAGGTTATGAGCTTCGGAAGGAGGGGAGTCCGCATAACTGTCTAGATGATGCTTGTGCTGCAATGAAACTTGTTCTGGCTAGATTAGAGCATGGAGCTGATGGTGTTATTCCCGAGGAGGTAACCTAGAAAAATCACCGATATTTTTGGGCCACCAACCAAATTGATATTGCTGCTTAATAGCATATTTGATTTAGGTGAAAGATGTAGATTCAGCCAAGCTGCTGCTTCACAGGATTCCAGTTAATATTTCTACCAAAGATTTGCAGAGTGTTATTCCAGGGGACTTTGAGATTGAAGTGAAGGTTAGTTCCATCACATTCTATTTCATTGCTTCTATGAAGTTCCTTTAACTACTTTTTACTGACTTTGTTTACTTGTATACTTTGATCGACTCCTTAACTAAAAATTCAATAGGTTCTATACGTTTACTTTATGAATGCAAAACATTGTTTACCATATGCTTTTTGCTGTGCTTGATATGACTTCATGCAAAGATAGTGTAATGGTATACTACTGTCTCGACTTCTTTGATTCTGAGGTTGAATCTTTCTGCCTAACCGTCATCACCTACTCGTCCAGCCAAATTCAAGAAAGTAAGATTTTTAAATTCAAGTGCATGTTGCGGCTACTAGGGTATTTTCTCCAGCAGTAACTACCTCCTTTTCATTCTGTTTCATACAAGTTTTAAATAGACATACTATTTCCAATGACCATACAATTTAAAGTGGAATCTTCACATCATCATTGTTTCTTAATCCATGCTGTAGTATCTGATTCATGTAACAACCTGCTGAGCAATTATCTAATGTGCGGCTTCAATAAATTGTATCAATACCCAATGAATGTGGTTTTTGTGCAGTCAAGTACTCCTTTGACTGCTAAATGCTAATTTGTAATTTGTCTATGTTGTCCTGCTTACTCGTACTTGTCACGGACGTCACTCCTAATGTGTTTCCCATTGCTTCTCCAAATGAGTTGACGGCAATCAAAGTGCTCAACTCAAATATGTATACGTGTATGTATGCATCCTTGAATGCGTATTATTAATATGTTTATATTGCAGCAAAGTGTCCTCAACATAAAACAAAAATCTGAATGAACTTACAATTCGGAAAGAAAAGAAATCCAGAAAAGTATGTGCAACCAGTTCGCCCTTCTCGTTGCGATGACTTGAACCAGTGAATTTTTCAATTCCATTTTTTTTTCCTGTCGTGCTTCATGGCTTCGAGGTTGAAGCAACACTTACCTTCCTGGATGCTTCCAAGATGTTCTCTGTTTGTGGAATTAGCTGCTATTGCCTGCATTCTTGTTTGTCTTTGACTTTACCATAATGTTTATAAGTTGATAGGTGGGAATCAATGCAAGGACACTTGACATTCCATTCAAAAATCCAATTAGTCCTTTATTCACAGGCTGCTTATTTAGGAAGTAGTTGACATGATTAAAACGAATTAGGGCGAATTATAAGAAAATGCCCTGACAAATTTAGTAATGTATTCCTAGTCGTCTATATGTTCATCAAATTGAAAATTTTCTAAAGTTGTAAGAAATAAAATGCGAAGTATTGAAAACTGACATTTTAGTCTGACAGTGAGTCGAGCTGTTCTATTTTCCTTGTATAGATTAAATTTTAATCTTCACCCCTTCTTTATTCTCCGCGTTTCAGTTAAATATATTCTGAGTCCTTCGCTCTCTATTGCTTTTTCTCACACTCCTTGTTATTGACTAAATGACTTTCTGCAGGCAAGCAAAAAGGTTCGAGATACATATTCTGCCCTTGCAATTTTCGGAAATCAGCAAGAAGCCAATGAAACATTTGATAATCTTCAGGGCAACCTAGAGAAGGTGTGTAATTTTCTCTGTCCTACAGTGTTCAGTATGGAAGTTGGCTTTTGCACGTGTTTAAATGGGCTAATGTGCCCTCCCTATCCAGAAACAACATAATGGTTGTTCATACTAGTTCCAACTGTACTTTCTCTTCTATGTTTTTAACTTATTGATATAACTATTAAAATTATTGATCTACTCTTTGCTAGGACTCAACTGGCCGACCCCAAAAAGTCTTCACTTTTGAGCTAAGTACAGGGATAGCTGCTAGTTTGTGTGTTTGTAAGATGGCTTGTGATGATTCTGTTGACCAAGTTACATTGAGGAAGAGGTCATTTGAAGATGAGGACAACTTGGGTGCATTGAAGAAGTTAAGGAAAGACAAGAATTGTGAACAACTCACGGAGCTGGAGTTGAGCTTAAATAAGTGCGAGGCACAGTCCAAAGAGATTGAAAGACTGAAGCAAGAGCTAAGACAGAGAGATCAGGAAATATCGAACTTGAACAAAATATTAGTCGCCCTCACTAGGAAACAAGGACTCTGAGAACATACTCTCAAGCACGAGGTGCTTTTAGTAAAGCCAGACGATGCTTTTACATGTAATGGCTTATTCACGCTTCATGACGTGCCTGAGAGATGGCCATATTTTCAGAAGCTATAATGAGCACATGCTGCTTACTTTCGGAGCTTCTGTACCACAAGGAATGGAGAATAGAACAAGATACATTTTTTTTTTTCCGGCTTTAGAATAGCTGGAGATGGCGGAAATGCATCTGAATAGAAATTTGAACCGTAACATTGCGGTATTAATGAGAATCATCATTTTTGTTGTATTTACTATGGAATGCTAACGCCTAATCATTTTGTGACCATATTGGTGCATCTTATAATTTGTTTCCATCTCTTGCTTATTTATGTACTTTGGAGTGATAGAGTAATAGATAACCTATTTTCTCTTTCTTGCTTTCTGCTTGTATCATTTTCTCTTTGTATTCTTTTGAATTTACTGTAGCGTCAAATTTTCTATTTTTGACTTATTTGTTTTGTCTTCCCGGAGTCCTAGAGCACGTACAGACATGCACTGCAAAACATGCTCCTATGGTTGATACATAGAGCAAATGTTAAATTTATTTCAAGGATTATTTATTTGTACATCATTTTTTGCCACCTTTGTTGACAGTTCTCCGTGGGAAGAAAAAAAACTACTGGCTGGAAAAAAAAAAGTTTTTTATTTTATTTTTTATTATTGACATTTTATCAAGTAAGGTGTACACCAAGCGCTTTTGTATTTTTAATGTGGATTCACCCATTTTTAAATATGGTGGCGTGTTATAACTCAAACGTGCAATTTAAATCTTTGGACTAGATAGTCAAGTTAACATAAATTGTCAGCTAACAACGAACATTATGATGTCTATATTTATGTGATTGAATCTCTCAAATTTTAAATACAAGTAGTTGAGAAATTGAAGTAGCCATTTTATCATCTTTTCAGTAGATGACTGAATATATAATGACATGCAACAAGGAACTTAAATTTTTATTAATAATAGGTGTATGCAAGTTATCACATTTATTCATCACTTGCATGTGTGCCAAACAATAACATTAAAGCTATTATTCTTGGAGGCATATGTCGACCTCAGAGAGATTTTGGGTGGGGTAGGGCACTTTTTATTGTAATGCTATTATGTTTCATTGGTGCTACGCGTTAATATATATGGAATTGAATTAGAACTTTATTTATTTGTTTTTATCTTGATTAATTATAGGCAGTGGACTACGATGCCAACCTAAGTTGAGCACCAGTGTTAACCGACCCAATCTGGTTATTGACACGGTCAAAGCACCGAGTTAGTGGATCATTGGTTCAATCAATGGGTTATTGATTTAATCGATGGCTTATTGTTGGGATGAAAAGTAATAAAAGCCCCTAGACGAAACTAGGAGGCTGGGTGGGTGTCTAATCCGCATATAAGTTCCTTGTTGAGTGACTTATATTAGAACTGCTTCTGTAATTTGTCATGTTGGTGATCAATCTCTTGTATTAGCTAGGTTCAGTGATTACTAGTTAGTTGAATGAACCAATCTCTCTAGCCTATAATTTGTTCGTCGATTTGACACGCATCTTTTGCAAATCTATGTGGGCCCTTTATACAAAATGCAACAGAGAAAGAGGCCTAACAATTAGAGATGGTAATTTTTCTCGCCCCGCCCCCGTCCCCGTGGGGCCCCGCCCCGAATGGGGAAAAAAACCCGCCCCGAACGGCTTGGTGGGGTGGGGCGGGGCGAGGTNATTATGTTTCATTGGTGCTACGCGTCAATATATATGGAATTGAATTAGAACTTTATTTATTTGTTTTTATCTTGATTAATTATAGGCAGTGGACTACGATACCAACCTAAGTTGAGCACCAGAGTTATCGGACCCAATCTGGTTATTGACACGGTCAAAGCACTGAGTTATTGGTTCAATCAATGGGTTATTGGTTTAATCGATGGCTTATTATAGGGATGAGAAGTAATAAAAGCCTCCAGACGAAACTAAGAACCTGGTAGGCTGGGTGGGCGTCTAATCCCCGTAGAAGTTCCTTGTTGAGTGTCTTATATTAGAACAGCTTCTGTAATTTGTCATGTTGGTGATCGATTTCTTGTATTAGGTAGGTCCAATAATCACTAATTAGTTGAATAAACCAATCTCGCTAGTCTATAATTTATTGGTCGATTTGACACGCATCTCTTGCAATTCGTTAGCGCTTTATAAGAATATAAATTAGAATGTAAAGACACAAGGATAGGATCGGGCCTGAGGATTCTCAATTGCCCCCATTGTCTTAGCAACCGATCGCGTAATTTGACCTATAAATAGTTGGCAAGTGGTCCACGGAAAGAAAGTAACCACATTTTCTTTGAAAATAAGGAACTCGCTAGGCCCTTAGAACAAAGTCGATTCTATTCATGCTTCAGACAAATGGTGGATTAATTGACCAGACTTCCTATGTCAAGAGTGGTTGATTTATCTACTCGATCCTATCTTTTGGAGCATGTATTACCATCCGTGTCCAATTGAATCGGTTACTCGAGAGTGATTTTTTCTGGTAAAATTTGTGTGATTAGAGCAACCATTTCCTCGACCATGGTTGTGGCCATTT